ACAGCCGGGTACCAGAAGATATTTGGAAATCCTTTAATGACTGAGCGACTGGCAGTTTCTCAGGAAGGACTCAGCTCCATGGTGTTCGTTAATTAACTAGTTAGTTGTTACCTCTTAGAATTTTAAGGAGTAGACGGTTTATTCAGGAATTTTATTCAGGAATTACCGTCTGTCTCGTTGGTTTGTGGTTCCATCTAAAAATTATTTTCTATTCGGTCTAGGAAGGAGTCGAACTAGAAGGCAGGTGGAAATAGTCAAATTTTGAAAACATTCATAAGAACTACACACGACACAATATTGGACACATGGGCTCATAGACGGAGCTATTACCCCAAAATTTAATTTATGGACAGAAGCAAAGTAGTTTCATAAGCAATTTTAGAGACATCTGAAGATGATCCGCATTAGTCGAAACATATAAGGTAAGGTAGAAGAGATTTTAACGTTTAACTAACTAACTAACTAACTAACTAACTAACTTCATAGAGCTGAGCCCTTCTTGATAAGCCGACAATTGTGCAGTTACTCAAGAACTTCAGTCCATATCATTCCATTCTCTCTCTCTCTCTCTCTAAGGTCCATTTTAATATTGTCGCGTGTTGGGTGTGCGCAACATGTCACAATATTGTTCACCCACCAACGTCTTGAACTTCCTAGTGATCTCTTTCCTTCTGGCTTTCCCACTAAAATCCTATATGTATTCCTTTTTCCCTTATTCGTGCTACATACACTGCCGATCTCATCCTCCTTGACTTAATCATTCTAACTGTATTTGAAAAAGAGTATAAACTATGAAGCTACTCATTATGCAGTTTCCTCCAATCTCCTATCACTTCATCTCTCTTCGGTCGAAATATTCTCCTCAACACCCTGTTCTCAAACACCTTCAGTCTATATTCCTCCCTTAGTGTCAGAAACCAAGTTTCACAGCCATACAGAACCACATGCAAAATTATAATTCTGTATATTTAAATTTTTATGTTGTTAGACAGCAAATGAGAAGACAAATGGTTCTGGGCTGAATGGTAGCAAGCATTGCCCGAATTTAGTCTCCTCTTAATTTCGTCTTGAATCGAGTTTTGATTTGTTACTGTCGTCCCCCAAATATCTGAATTGTGCCACATTTTCAAAACATCTGTTAGCTATCTTTATATCATTATCTTATCCCAGAGACTGATGACGAGACACCTACATATACTTAGTTTTTCTGTGCATTTTAACGTTTTAAACTTTTACTGGTTTTAAAAAGCAAATTGCTTGTGAGACGGCCAGTGGCTAACAGGAATAAATTTTCTATTCTGAATTCTTTTTTTCTTTTCTTGTGGGGGGGGAGTTGTTCGTTTCCCATTGGCGGAAGGATATTTCTTAGTCTATTATCTTGTCTCGACGAGCTGCCTTATCATATGCGCGCTCTGTACTTCAGTTGCTGTGATTTTCTCTTTTATTGCTTGTCTGTAGCCAATCACTGCGCAATAACAGTCTGCACCGGTCACTGAAGACCGCCTCGCTCAGGGTCGCCAGATTAGCAAATCCTAGTAATTTCCCCGTCCCATTTTGCTATACACTACGTCATCAGGTCAAACAGTAACAATTGTAAAGCTATCCCTGTAACAGGCCGTGGAGGCCCATAGGGTTGTGAGACGTTGAGGCTCCCACATTTTCTAGACAATCGACCCACAGATGGCAGTAAATTTATCAATCTTATGCGCAGGCCGCCCTTTAACTCCACGAAGATTCCTGGTACTCATTTCTGTTAGAGGCTGAGTCGACCCCAGGGCCATTGTGCGGCTGGAAGGATTACGTCAATTAAAAAAAATCCACCTCATTGGGACTCAAACCCGCGACCTTCCGGGTTATAGCTTGTAGCTCAACCAACAACGCTACCGCGTGCCCCCCAACGACAACCTAGACTGTCTTCAATTATGTAGCGTAACTTAGAAATTATAAAGATAATTTAACAGTAAAAAAATACGAGAAGTTCTGGGAAGAACTAAGCCCGCACTTTCTTTTCGCTCTAAGTATCTGATATGATATGCAGAAAGAAAACTTTAACAAGAATGCGTAATTAAGTCAATAAAACAAAACGATTTGAGTGGCTGTAAAGTTGGTATTACTGATCGAAAAGAATTGATGACGTGTGTCACTGAGATTAAACACATAAAACACCTTAGTCTTAGAACTTTAAGAGAAGAAGAGAAGAGACAACTTGGAAGATCCAGACGTAGACGGAAGTACAGCACTGAAAATGATCTGGAAAAAAATCCAATTTGATGGTGCAGGTTGCATTCGCTAGGTTCTCCACAAAGCTCAGTGGCGGACTCCAGTGAACACTGACACGAACAATCTGATTCCACAAAAGTAGCGACTTTTTCTTTGCCTAATAAATGTCTATCAATTTCTTAGAGAGATCAATTTTCCGTGGAGGTTATATCATCCGCTGAAGACGAAGTTGTCTGTTGGCCTCCCTTATGAATTAAAATTAACATTTTAGAAAATTCTTGTCATGTGTCCATCTTGCAAACCATTTCCAACTCGTTACAAACATATAATTCCGTTCTCGTCTTGAGATAATGCACACTCGGATCTGTCTCCTGTTTTGACTAATTCGATAACATTTCCATTTGAATTAAATAACATAAAATATGGTTCACATTAATATGGATATGCAGGGCTTTGCATTTGTTCGGGGAAAGCCTCTGCAGGAAAAGAAGAATGGGGGGGGGACTATGAAGAATAAGTTCAGAGTAGGAAGAATGCTCAAATTAGGCGTAACATCACCATATTTGCATAAATATGTCGTCTCAGAGACATTAATCATGTTGCTTATGCTTGTGCGCATAGGAGTACAAAACTCTTACCCCTCGGTAGGGGATTCCTCAAAACCGTGACGACACAAGAGAGAAGCAGACAACAGAGATGGAGGATGTGTGAATAGAAGGCGTATACATAAGTAATTTGAAGAGAACCTAAGGAGTACAGACTGTTTTCAAAGGCAGAGACAAAATTGGGAGGAACAGAACAGAAACCGCTCCTGCTCTTTACGATTATTTACGTAACGCTTTTTGGTGAACTCAACACCGATTTGCTTAATGTCGGGAATAGAACTTAGCAATATGTACAGATAAATGCTGTATTTAATAACGTTTCAATAGTAAACCGTGATTCTAAATTATTGTCGGGATTTCCTTGCCTTAATTTTTATAACCGAAAATAACAAAATAAAACTGCTTAAGGAATATGAAGCTGTAACTCAATCGATACATCAATTCAGCGATTAGAGCGTTGTTAAACAAAACTTTTTGGGTTAAACATTCATATTTCGTAAGCAGTTTTATTTTATTATTCTCAGTTTCAAAATTATATGCCACAGAGACCCCAACAGTAATTTTGAATCATCCTGTATTTAGGTGACAATTCACGGTGGTTAATCAGGAGAACAGGATGGACAGGATACGTAGGATAACGCACAGACCAATTTGATAGGAAAACCTCAAGGGGAGGAACAAACTAGGAAGCCTAAAATAGATGGGAGTATTTCAAACTTATCTTGCAAGAATAACTTCAGCATGTACGGACATTATGCGGCTTGTTCAGAAGAAGACATTATGAAGGAATTATGTTTCACGGTGCTTCCTCTTCTATAAAACGGAGGAATTCGTTCGGGGTAATTTCACACATTTCATAACCAGGCTGCTTTAATGGTAACGCCATAAACTTATGTTTAAAATGTGCCAGGACATAGACTACCTTGCCACAGCGGCCCGGATTCGAGCTCGGATCAGATCATATGGGATTTGTGGTTGACAAAGTGGCACTAGGGCAGTTTTCTCCCAGTACTTCGCTTTCCCCTGCCAATTCGCATTCCACCGACTGCTCTACAATCACCCCCATCCATCACCCGGGGCTGGTACAATAGGCCAGTAGCGGCCGTAGTACCAAGCGGACTCAGCCTCACCTCATGAGAAAATAAAAAAGAACTGTTATCTTGACTGAGTTTTCTTGTGGTTTTACTCAGTGTCTCCATCCAAGTTTCGGGATATTATTTCAATTAAGGTGTGATCGTTTTCTTCCAAATCCTGTCCAATTCATGATTCACGTCTCATTCCACCAGTCAACACTGTGCAGTCCAGTTACTGACAGCGTCGCAAATTAAGCCAAAGAAATCTTTACGCAAAGCCATGTACCGTGTATTTAGATACAACAAATGTGCGCCGGTCACAGTGACCGCGCGGTCTAAAGCATGAACTATCTTCGCTCACTCGAACGCTTGGATCGTGGGTTCGAATCCCATGGATATCTGTGTTCGTTTGTTCTGTGTTTGTGTCGTCCTGTGTGTAGGTTGGGGCCTTACGACGGGCTGAACCCTCGTTCAAGGAGCCCTGCCGTCTGTGTAAATAAGGTTACGAAACTGAGAAGAGGCCAGGGCCCAACAAAGGGCTGTAGAGTCATTGATGAATGAATGAATGAATGAATAAACAATAAATGTGCAATTATTTAGTCTTGTCTTATATTACGTAAAATAACATTAAGCCTATGACTGTGAAGTAAGAAACCGCCTCCGTGGTCTAGTGGTCAGAGTTCTTGGTACAGATCCAGAGGTTCCGGGTTCGATTCCCAGCGCTACCAGATTTTCTGAGAAGGAGTGAATCTGGAAAAGGGTCCACTCAGCCTAGTGAGGATAACCGAGAAGCTATTTCAGGAAAATAGCGGCTCCGGACTAGAAAACCGAGATTGACGGCCGTCTAGATCCGTTGCGCTGACCACGCAACACCCTCTATTCGCAAAAGTTGTCACTAACTTCACCTTCAAGCGGCGGTCGCTCGGTCGGTATAGTTCGCTTGCGGACTACAGACTACGGAATTTGTTTTGTTTTGTTTATTTGCTGTGAAGTAAGACACACATGTTCACGCCCCTGTTTATCAAATAATTTCACTCAGCACGTGACATTTGACTTGGCGACGATTCATAAATACACTTAGATACTTTGTGCATTCTTTCAGAACGTGACACAGGAAGCGAGCGACATGGCCCGGCTGGAACTGAAAGTAGAAGATGTGAATCGCATATTATTCGTTATCACGGAAGTGCTCTCTGTGGCAGTCGTGCTGGTCTTCATCCTGGTTCTAATGCTCGCCTGGCAAATAAACAGGTAAACACGTGAGTTCAGTGACGCGAGACTAGCCCCTTCCATCTGATTCGACTGAATAGTAAATATAACCTGAGGAAGGGACCAGATCCAGTTCCCGAAACCTTATATTTCTATTCTTAAAACGAAGTCTAAGCAATAAGTAACACTAAAGGTAAGAAGAAGTTCTGTGAAGAACTAATATCCTAATTTCCTATCACTAGGTATGTGATACGACACGCACCGCTTAGAAAACTCCGCGTTCAACAGTTCTTGTATTGTCGCGTGTATATTCGTTACCGCGGGAATGTGTTTACCGAGCCGTTGAATAGCAACGTTAGGAGAGGGCACACAAACACAGACGGCAAGATGACATCGTTAAGCCTCACTTTTAGCCTACTTTTTTTTAATAAAAGTTGACTTATGAGATCATCTTGCTGTCTGTCTGTGTATCGGTCTGCCAGCCCATCTGTCTGTGTATCTCCCGAAAATTCTTTAAGCTTTTGAGGCTCATAAGATCACCTTCTATCTCTCTGGGTATCCACCCTAACTTTTGCTAGGAGGTTTCTGAAATCGCCTTGCTGTCTTGTATCTGTGTCCTTTCTTTCTGTTGCCCATGCGCACCTGAAAGTAGATGATTCGTTCTTCATATAAATTCCTTCGTTTTTTCGAAATGAGGAAAGTAGGCAAAAAAAATGCAACTTTTGTTTCTGGAAGTACAATAATTTTTTACGTATCTGGTAAGTATGATTTCGGAACGATGAATTGGAAAGGTTCTGGAAGGAAATGGTCATAACCTAATTTAAGATACTATCGAAGAATTTTCTCGAAGGGACGGGGATTAACAAAGAACACTTCTGCCACGATTGCCGGTCTGCCGACCGGGATACGGAGCAGGAGTGCTAACTTCTCGATGACGGTGCTGTGTCTGGCGGAAACAAATAGGCATTGACGCATAGCTGTGAAAGAGATTAACACATAACCATGCATTGTGTTTATAGAGAGAGGACAAAAATGGCTAAGGCGTGTATTAGTCAACACATCTACACGAACAGGGCGTACCAGCTGGACGAAGAGACCAACAGAGTCTTCAGCATGCAAGAGTAAGTTGGAGTAAGTCTGGTGAGCGCCGGCTCTTGTGAACACGGCAACGAATCCTAGGTTTCTATAAAAGACGGGTAATTTCCTGAATGGTTTTTAAATTCTCCAGGCGGACTCTGCAGTATGTAGATTGTTTAGACGGATAAGAATATTGTAACTTGGATGGTCAGAGCGTTGCTAAGCAACGGCTCAGTAAATAAACTTCAACAATAGAGTATTTTCGATGGGACCCGTGCCGCGACCGTTGCTATGCAATGGTTCGTTAAACGCATTTCAATAATGGAAGACTGTCTTCAGTGGGGTCCGTGCAAAGGATTACCTTAAAAACAAAGGGCCCTACGATTCGGTTCTGAGTTCTCGTAGAATACAGTCACGGAAATTTCGTCGACCTGTGAAGACTTAAAGTGTAATTATAAGGCTTCATTCATGTGTAATACTTGGAGTTTGTCATTTAGTGAGAGTGTTATAGTTCCTACGGTTTAGTTGTAGTACAAGGAGAGGACCAGTGTGTGTGTGTGTGTTGTGTGCGCGCGCGCGCGTGCATGTGCGTGTGTGTGTGTGTGTGTGTGTGTGTGTGTGTGTGTAAATCAGAAGCTCAAGNCGTGCATGCGTGCGTGTGCATGTGCGCGCGTGTGTGTGTGTAAATCAGAGATAGCGCTGTATTTAAACGTGATTAGGAGATTTGAGGTTTTCACGGCGGTGACTATGAAGTAGTGCTAATAACCCAATCGTCCGAACTAGAACCCGTCAATCTCGTCACGCGTACCACCCTACACGTGACAATATTATCAAAATGGACCTAAAAGTGCCAGTGTAGCACGGACTGAATTCATCTAACTCAGGATATGGCCCAGTGACGGGTCCCCGTGAGCGTGGTTAAGAAACCACGGGTTCCGAAAAGGCGATTTCTTGACGACTATTATGTTGTCAAGAAGGCCCATGTTCCATGTAATTAGTTTAGGTGGTTAAGGGTAGTGTTAGAATATAGCGTAAGGTACTTATATAGTTCACAGTAGAATTCATAGGCGGGCCCTTGTGAACACAAATAATGAACTTTGGGATTCCCTTAAAGACGGAGGTTCTCTCGACTAGCTGGGTTACTATCAGCTTCTCAAGCAATACTGTACATTATGGAGTTAATTATCTATTATTTATTGCTGTTATTAATGTTTTATTACATGCTATAATTAAATATTGTCGAAAAATATCTTTTGAAGTGAAGACTCAACTATTTTCCGCCTTAATTTTTATTAGCCTGTCCTTCTTTTTGCCTCTAGCATAGTTGGTTGAGGCACTATACTAAAAGCCGGAAGGTCGGAGGATCGATTCCCAAAACTGATCCCTTCACTTAACCACTTTGCACGGACCACGCAGAAAACACATCCTCTGCTGTTAAGGAAGTTTGTTTACTGATCCAATGCCTAGCAATGTACATCCTATTGTTGCCGGCGTTTACTTCTGCGGGAATGTGTTTATTGAGTCGTTACCCAGCAGTAGATCTATACGTCACAGTATTTATAGCTATATATATTCAGAATAAGTTACCTTTGAAATATATGGCGTAAACGATTCTTTGAGTAATTATACTTGTAATTTTTAACATAGAAGGAATGGATAGAGAGTGTCGCGTGGTCAGCGCAACGGATTCCGACGTCCGTTAATCTCGGTTTTCTAGACCAAAGGCCATACCATGTTCAAAACTCTGGTTCTCGTCCGATCATTGAAGTTAAGTAACACTGGGCGTGGTTAGTACTTGGATGGGTTACCGTGAGTAAGAGTTAATTAATTAAAAATCCCACCTCTTACGACTGTACGCAATCTTACCGATTTGTCATCTGCTCCACAACAATGAATCAACTGGGTCGATAAGAGTCTACTCTCATAAAATATGATATCTTAAAAGAAGGCAAATGGAAGGCCTGTACCGCCATTAGTTACGTCTCCTCCTTCACGCATGACTTGAGTAAAACTCAGATTTCAATATTTGACGATAATCGCTTTGTAACAAATGTATTGAAACGATCACAGTCATATTTTTATGGCTTGTTTATCTCGAATGTCTATAATTGATAGTACATTTTCTTTCAGGGTGAAATTGCCTATGGAACCCATAGCAGAAAGTGGAGGACGTGAGTCCTGAAGAGCACACAACCTCAATCCAAGTTATAAGCATACGTATTAACCACCCAGCGAAACAAATGTAGAAATATGTTTCCAATGTATAATTTACTGCACCGAGATATGTTTTTGTAGCGACAGTAATTTTCCTTGTACGCTGAGGCATGCCTATACTTCTGTTTGTACCCGTTTCCTTCCTCTGGTACCTCTAGCCTACTTTCCTTATTTACAAAAATGCATGTACCCTTAAGCGACCGCCATGTTGTCTGTGTGTCTGTGTATCCCCCTGCAAACTTTTGAATAGCTGAACCAATCTTTATGAAAACTGGTATGTATGTCATGGCACCTGGGCCCATCTCAACGGCGTGCCTCATAAATCCCTCCCGTCAGTCTGTGTGTCTGTAAGTGTATACCTCCTATTGTTTCCAGTTTATATTTGTGATAAGTGTTTTGATATCAACGATGTTATATTTTTGTTATATTACTTTGCAATTTTTAATAAAATCTTATTGCGTATAGTGATTGAAATAAACTTATTTTACTCTTGCATTTTTCTTTCTTGCTTGTTTTCTTTTTTCGTGTTCCATAAATTTGTTGTAGTAATGAAATAATATATCATGTTCTTGCACACGGGGCATGTGGTGAAGTAGTTAGGGAACTATGATACAAGCCGGAAGGTCGCGGGTTCGATTCCCGATGAGTTCATGGAATTTTTCAATTGATCTAATACTTTCAGCCGCAATACAACCCTGGGGTCGACTCAGACTCGAACAGAAATGAGTACCAGGAATCTTCTTGGGGGGTAAAGGGCGGCCGGCGTGTAAGGCTGACAACTTCACCGCCATCTGTGAGCCAACTGTCTAGAGAAAATGTGGCATCCTCGACATCTTACAACCCTATGGGCCTCCACGCCTGTTACTGGGATAGCTTTACCTTTATCATGTTCTTGCATAAGAGAATACCACGGGTTCATGCAAGGGGACGATCGTGAAATGAAAACGCAATCAAAAAACGACGATATAATACGACAAAAAATAAGCGAATCTGTTTATGTAATAATATTAATGAAGCAGAAATAAAACAGGCATGCAACATCAGATCTTACTAACTGGAGGTTTGAAAACTCGTAAAGATCTTCGTAAAGGTTCGAAGGGCGTACTGAATGAAGTAATACAATTGGATATTAATACTCGTACTATCGTCAGAGGTGAAAGACTGAAACACCTGCGCCGAAGATTGGTTTTCCGAAAGATATAACAGGCGCCATTCTACGAAGATAAGAGGGACAGTTCTTATCAACGCTACGCGGTCTCGATACTAGAAACGTCAATAACAAACTACAAAAAGGGGGCGACAAAAATTTTGTTTAAATAAATGGATCCGAATATTTTAAGAATACGTTAAAGCGATGAAAGAACGGAATGAAACTAATGTCTCAGACATGCGTAAGATAAGTAGGAGTACGAGGGAAGTCACTTCCTTGTTTTGATATTCTAAACGTTCCTAAAACAGGCTAATACATGATGAAATTGAAATATATAAATGCCATTTTCTGGGATAGAATGAAAGCCTACCTACCTACCACTCGGCGCTACAGTCCTGGGTGTCTTGGCCTCCTCTACAACCGGTCTTCACAGCCAGTGCGTGCTGCCATAGGAATGGACCCACGCATGATGACCCGAGGCTGGTTGTTAGGTTTTTGAACAAAATTCCTTTTACAGGATCAGGTTGTTAGCCTCATGCCCAACCCCCAACCTGGAGGACCATGTTATCTCTCTTAGTCTGGACCCTACCCTTTGACCTTACCTGCATGGGTGACTCTACCGGTAGTTAAACTTCCGCCCGCATAGCTCTCCAGGTCACAGAGTCACATAAGCCCCACCACCACGACAAGGTGGAGACAACTTTAGGGGGATTGAATGAAAGCATTTATGGATATTTATGGATATGGCACGTTATTCGTGCCAGAATATATACACGTAGTAGTAATTTATAAATGCGGAAGTTCTAAATAATTTCACTAAAAAAAATATTATTTTATTGGGCACAAACATAAATACCATAAAAGCATAAACCCTCCTCTAATCACGCCATTAGTGTTAAATTTCGTACCGTGATTCATAACAAGAACCGGCTATTATGACCGATGCTTCTCGTGGTTTTCTTCATTCCCTCCACGCAAACGCCTGAATAATACACCGATTAGACTGTGACCACTTCCTTAAAAATCCTTTCTAGTTCACTGCTTTTCATTCCCACTGTCATTCGAAGCTACACGGTCTCAAATATTGACAGGGCGTTAAATCAACCGTAGAAAGAAAAAAGAAACCAAAGAACTCGAAAAGGAAAAGGCAGACAGATTCTGTCGGTAAGTAGAAACATCAGAACACTTAGAAGCAACATCTCCTATTAGCAGATTGGGTTTCATCACTCGCCCTTTCTAAAGCACTTTCATAGTAACCAAATTTATCATAACTGTCCTTTTGCTAAGCTGTGCTGGTTGTGGAAGGGAGAAAGGGTGTAAAGAGCGGTGGGGGGTAGAGTGCGGCAGGAGGTTAAGCCCAAAACCTCGATGGCATATGTGACATCTCACAGAGCGATACATCAAAAATTTAATCTGTGAAATGGAAGTAGCACGGCTTGGACAGACAAACAGTCAGGGCAGACAGACTGGTAAAACGCTCTTGTTGAAAGCAACGCGAGAAACAGAAGCACAGAGTGGCAATGTCCTTAAAAGGATGTCAGAATTTTCAGCTACATACGGACCGAAGAAACTTGCAGTGGATAACGAAAGGAGGATAAGCTGTAAAAATTGCTTGACAGCCAACATACTTGGATTCCCTTTTATGAGTACAGGCGATTTCAAGAGTTATCATTAAAACCTACCAAATTTACTGCCTATCCATCTATCTATCTATCTTTTGTTGGACCTTGGCCGCTTTCAAGTTTCTTAATCCTATATACAATCGGTAGGACTCCTTGGGCGGGGATCAGCCCGTCACAAGGCCGCTACCTACACACAGAACAACACAAACAGACAATAAACGCATGCAGACATCCATGAGGGATTCGAACCCACGATCCCAGCATTCGAGAGATTGACGACAGTTCATGCCCCAGACTGTCATTGGCACGGACTGTACTAGACTGTAAAAATCCGAAGTTCATCTTAACATTTTCAGATGTTCACGGATCCCCCTCCACTTCAATTGCAGACCAATTTGGGCTGGCTTTCGGAAAAGAAAAGACAGATTCGTTTGGCGGTGCACACAAGCTGGAGAATTAGCGTATCATGAGGACATTTCTTGACGAATGTCCGCTTTTAAAACCGGAAAGAGACGGGAGGGTCACATTGAGGTGGATCTTAGGGAGACAGAATTTGAGGATGGGAGATGGATGGAACTGGCTTACGAATGCGTCCAATGGCAGGTTTTGGGGTTAGTTTTATTGAATTTACAGTTTCTTCTACAGCACTGTTACTTATTAACACATGGGAGTCACTTTAAGCCATTAAGGGTGAGAAATAATTACACAAGCCAATATGCATCACAGTGCCAAATTCAGTTCTCGTAGCGTTCATTTAATTTTGCACAGAAGTCTATTGATTCTTAGAATGATCAAGTCAAGGAGGATGAGGTGGGCAGGTTATGTAGCACGAATGGGGGAAACGAGGAATGCGTATAGGATATTGGTGGTAAAGCCAGAAGGAAAGAGACCACAGGGAAGACCAAGGCGTAGGTGGGTGGACAATATTAAAATGGATCTTAGAGAGATAGGATGCGATGGTATGGATTGGATAGATCTGGCTCAGGATAGGGACCAGTGGAGGGCTCTTGTGAACACGGTGATGAACCTTCGGGTTCCATAAAATGCTGGGAAATTCTTGAGTAGCTGCAGAATTGGCGGCTCCTCCAGAAGGGGTCAGCTCCAAGAGTGAGTAAGTAAGTAAGTCTATTGATTCTGTATGGAACACGAACAAGGTGGCTTTCTCGCTTTCTGAGTCTATTCCGCAACTACGCACGTAATGCTAGATGTAATAATCTTTTATTTCGTAAAGTTCTCTTCCTCAATCATTTCGCAGTGTTAACAGAATGCCGCATTAATTCTGATATTACTTTACATGAATTTGGTTCAGAAATAATGAGTGAAAAGATATCGAATATAAAACGTATACAAAGTACGAATGAAATTTACAACATTCGTCATAGCCAGAGAGCGCTGCCAACAATTGCACTTTTAAATAATGATAATGATTTTATTTTCGGTTTTACTTTTTAATATAAATTTTAAACAAACTAAAATAATCGATAAAATCTGTTTTATATTATGATTCTTATTGAGTATACCAAAATACATCATTTCTGAAATATGTATTAAAAGAATGTTCTAAAACATGTAACCCTTGCCGTCCTGAGCAGCATTTCTTTTGTTGTCGTTAGGTAAAGTCTTCCCGTCTACAAATGCTTTCTGTTAATAGCTGATACATCGTGTCTAATTCAGTTTCGTTACATTATCGAAAGGATGAAAAATGTATATCCTTAGACACGAAGGAAAACGCCATTAGTATATCTGATCATCCAGCAACACAGCAACACCCCCAGCACTGGAAGCGCGCCCTCCTGCGCATGTCAAGCAATGCAGCCAACTTGTTTAACGGTAATTACTGCAGGACAGCCATATAGAACAGAACAGAGAGAAAGGCTTTTGCTCCAGATATAACTTTCTCCCGCTGTAATGCCAAAGCAGTATTTCCTCCTATGTTATATATGATGCCCGCGTTATTTTGCTGTAAATAACATTTCTGGTGCACTCTGAAAGAACGCCACCGTCCTTCAGCAAGCTCTTGTCCCCATTTCTAAATTGGTGTCCTGTCGCTTTACTTTTCATTATTTAAAAGTTTATACTCTTGCAGACATCTTCTTTATGGAAACCATTACATGAAATTCTATCACAATTTTCTCTTGTGGTCTTTCCTTCTGGTTTCTGAAGATATAAGAGTCGCATGAAGCAGACGAGGTGGGAGGGCCGAGAATATGTGTAGCACTTAGGCAAATATTTGGACTTAAGACGGAGAAAAAGACAGGAGACTGGTGAAAACTGCACACACATTATTAGAATGAAGAAGAATGGGAGGAGACATGCAGAACGCATGGAGAGTAGAAAATGCATATAAAAATTTGGCCGAAAACAACATGAAATAAACAGCCGTAGATGGGGGTAATATTAAATTAAGTCTTAAGAAACAGGATGGATGGTGTAGTATGGATTCGACTTATAAGCCTCGAGAACGTAGTGGTGGGCACTCTCGAAGGATGTGTTAATGAACATGTGGG